GGTGGTGGTGGTTGAGGCAGCGGCTCACGGCAGCATCCGCGGCTGCCGCCCATTGATCCTGCATACCCGGCATTCTGATGATGTGCGCGGGTGGTTCGCATGGTTTCGTATGCTGCAGGCGGCGAGGACACATCCCCCCCATGGCGCAGCAGCGCTGCTCTGGCCCTTGTTGCCGCAGGGCGCACCTGGAGCAGCAGCAGTGTATCAGGCACCGCACCCTCCCGCCGCAGGTCTGCCAGCCGCTCCTGCAGCCTCAGGGCCGCGCCATAGCCCACCAGCCCAGCTGTGAGGTCCACCACGGCGAGCACTGGACGCGCAGCACCGGCCATGGCTGGGCTACCGGCCAGCCGCCCGCCGCAGCAGTGAGCAGCAGGGCGGCGGAGCGCAGTGGGGCAGCCAGGCGCGATGCCAGCGGCCTGGCCGCCCCTGCGGCGTGTTGCCGCCCAGCCGCAATTGCTATGCGCGTGTCACGTTTCTGTGATCCAATTTTTTTCTCAATATGCTATATCCCAGGCGCGTAGCGTCAACGCTGCAGCTTGCTGACAATATGAAAATTTGATCTGCCCTGGCAGTACTGTAGGCTGTGCACTGCTCAGGACCTTGCAGTGAGGCCTTTATGATACTGACGGCCTAGGAGCGGACAACGCGCTCACGCATAGAGCTGCGCGCCCTCGAATCTGCGAGAAGCTCATCCTGGCCTTCTCGGCTCACCCTGCCTACGTCTTGCGCTGCAGCCTTTTCGGGAGGAGGCTGAGGCGTCCAGTTGCTGGGAGGTGCGTGCGCTGACTGGGGGCCATGCTTGGATGCTTGGCACAGCTGGCACACCACCTAAAGCGCCAGCTGCTGCCGGCTGCGCTCAGTGCCTGCTAACAGGCGCAGTGCTGCCCTTCGCCTGATGCTGGCTTCATCTTCATGCTGGTTTATACATTGCCAGGTCAAGCGTACAGGCATTGCGTGCTGCTGCCACACAAAGCTCTCACAATCGCCGATGCAGCGTGCGCAGGCACTGGTCCCCATGGATGCGCGGACTGTACGGCAGCAGCTGTGGCAGGCATTGCCTGAGTTGTTCCCAGGCGTTGACAACGCCGAGTTTCGCAGTGATGCGTTCGAAGTAATCTTCCAGAGGCCCGAGGAGTGGTCTGCTGGTGTGCTGGGCATGCCTGTGGACGACCGCAAGGCGGCCATCAAGTCAGCTGTCCGGGGTGGGCGGGCCGCTTGTGATACGCTGACGCGGTGCAGCAACTGCACAGTGTGTGTCATGTATTTAAAAGTCCTTGAGGGTGCTAAGTGGCAGCTGGAGGTGGTTCCAGTGGTGTCGCTGTGGTGCCCAGAGGGTGCCACGTGTTGGCAAAAGGTTGACAGCCGACACAGCTCTTATGCCGTTGCTGCCGTTCACCTCTTCCCCATGCCGCTCTCCATGCATGCTATGTACTACAACCTGCTGGCTCCTTCGCATGGTAACCTCGAACCCGTCACTGCTGTCTGTGCACTGCAGGTGAGGCGTACAGCTTGCAATCAACCATATAGCTTGCTGGCTCTGCTACGCATGCAGCCTGCTTTCCAGGCTGCCCTGTGAAGTGCAGCCTGTGAGTGCGCCTCATTTACGCCGTGTGAATGCCCGTGCTGACATCGCCCGCACACCTGCTGCTCTGCGTCCCCGCCCGTTCCGTCTTGTTTCATTCACCTGCTGGCTTTCCTCTCAACTGACATGCCCCTTTAATTCGCATCTTCTCCTCACGGTTTGTGCCTGGGCCTCTGCAAATATCCACAGCAGCAGGTGAGATCCTGCCAAGGATTTGCGATGTTGTTGGGGGCAAGCCTGCAGACCCTGTGTCCCCAGTTGTTGCTTGTGGAGCAGCAGTGATGAAAAAGTTCCATGCAGCAGCAGTCCCAGTTGTCTATAGCAACCGCATGCACCACCATGTGCAAGATGCCAGCTACCAATTGGCCCCTTGCAATTGCGGGGCGCTGCATGCATCCAGTCAGCGAGCAAACTAGCCAGTCATTTGCTGATCCTCTTGTGCAACAAGCAGGGGCATGACACTTCACCGGGGCCAGCTCACAGCAGGCGTGCGGAGCACTGCATATGTAGCATGCTCGGGTCAGCAGGCAGCTCTGCAGCCTCTCAATTTTGCTGCATGCCTCGTGTCATGCCCACAAGCCTGCTTGACCTTCCGTTTGCCGCCTTCTTTCTACCTTCCATGGCTCCCGTCTGGGCTTTCTCCATCGTTTCACATCAGCAGCAGCAGCAGCAGCAGGTGGGTCACGTGTGGTTTTGCTATGGTGCTTGTGGCAATTCTGCCAACCTGCATCACCGGGTAGTTGCTTATGGTGCAGCCATGGACTAATTCCTGGTTGCGGTTCATGCGGGTGGTTCGCACACATGTCGTATGCAGGGCGCTGACACTAGCACATAAGAGCCTCAAAACTCTGCCGTGGAATTATGCATAACCCATCTGCGCAACCCAACATGCTTTGTATAACCATTCAAGTAGCACAGAGTCCTGCAGCACCAGCTGCAGAGGTCCAAAGTGCTCTTGCGCCTTGTGCATTGCAACAAATGCCACTGTATGGGGCTTGCGCTGAGCATGCGGCCCCTGGCATTCGGGGTAGGGGAGTCCTGCCTGTCTCCGCATGGGTTTCCAGGCGATGCTGGAGGCAGGGAGTAGCCAGTGTGTCTGCAGCTCAGCCAGCTGGTGCAGGCATGTGTCGCAGTGGTTTTGGCACGTTGCATGCTTTGTGGCTGTGCCCAACGTGCCCAATAATTTCGACGGGAAAGCCCTTGACAACTCTGATCATGTGGTGCTGCTGCCCTCCCCTTCCCCCCCTCCTCCTATTTCCCCTGCCCTGCACACATGCTGCGTCCCACACACTACCTGCTGGCTTCCTTCACGGTGCTCATCTTACGTCCGTTGCCGCCCACCATCTTGTCCTTCCAGGCACTGGCGAGGGATCATCAGGTGCGCTTTGTGTGCATCTTACAATCCAAATTAACTGACTGGCTGGCTGGCTGGGGGTCGTGTATCATGGGATTGGCCACAGCAACTGTTGCTGGTCTTGGTGGCGGGGAACACTGGGCAGCGCCCTTTGTTGAAGTACCAGCTGCACCTTGCAACTGTGATATGGCGACAACGCAGTGCGCCCCTCGCAGCAAGCACGCACGTTTTGTACTCAGCTTGCCTCGTTGGCATCACTTGAATGCCTGCCGGTGCTGACCCCACCTGCAATTGGCACTCGTGCCTGGCCCATCTCGCCCCTTGCATCTGCTGGCTTTGCTTACACCCTTCCCTTCCGTTTTATCGCATCTGTTCTCATGGCTTGTGCCCGGTGCTCTGCGAAGGATCCACAACAGAAGGTGAGTTGCTGCAGGGTTGTGTCATGTTGCTTGGAGCAATTCTGCTGACCCTGCACCCCCAGCTGCTCCTGGTGGAGCAGACGTGTAATTGGCAGCAGTGCCAGCTGCCAATGGTAACCGCACGCACCAGCATGCCGGGTACCACTATTCAGCCTTCAATTGCACTGCCTTCCATGCATCCAGTCAGTGTACATACTGGGGCCAAGCCAGATATGCACAGGTGCTCTGAGCATGCAGCACACGTTGCATCGCAGGTGCAGCAACTGTACGTGGGACCTTGGCCAGCGCGTCGTGATCCATCTTGCTTATTGAATATTATGGCTGGCGTCCTTCCTCACACCAGACCTGTCACACCCTATGCCCTACCCCTTGGACTGCAGGCGGCACGTCAGGGCTGGTTGAGAGCAACACATTCAATGCGGGCATGCAAGAACTCAAGACCAAACTGGAAGTGCTGGAGGAGCAGAGTGCGGCTCTTGTATGGAGGATCGATACCCTGCAAGAAGGTGTGTGTGTCACATGCCAGCCTTCAACACATATTTCCCGTGAAGCCTCTCGGGATGGAGCGTTGCAATCTTGCAATAATGGCACGCTGACAAGCTTGCCTGAACATTTAAAACGACCTTTGAACGTGCATTCTGTCCATCTGTATTCTGTCCATTGCAGAACGTGCACGCCAGTCGGGGTCCCATCTGAAGGTCTCCTGACTGGCTGCAGGCATGGTACCAACGAAGCAAGCGGCTGTCGCCCTCCTCGTCATCTACATGGGTCTGGTGGTGCTCACTGGTTACCTGAGTTCCCTGGACAATGGAGGCAAGTGGAGCCTTGGGCCCATGGTGACCATGGGCCCATGGTGACCATGGGCGCAATCAGCGCGCTGCACGCCGTGCCTGTGGCGGCGGTGTGGCTGCCTAACCCCTGGCCACAAAGGGTTTCTACCTTCATGAACACGTTGGCTGTCGTAAGTGCGCAGCAGGCATAGTTCAGATAGCGCACCAAATTGTCAGTTCGTCGCATGCCAAACTGTGTCGCGGCATGCAGGGTGTGCTCATATGCCCTGTTGTAATGCTGGAAGAGGCGAGGCAGCAAGGCAGCAGTGAGGCGCTGGAGGCGGCGAGGGAGCATAGGGTGCCGAGGGAGCTAGCATCTGTGTTTGATGTTCGGTTGTACTTGTTGGTTATGTACATTGTTTTGTGCCACTTGTTTTCATACTGGAGAAACAAGCAGACTGGTTCGTTTGAGTATAGCTTTTGAGGTTTGGTTGCTTGTCTCGGAGTTGGCTGCTTGTTCTTGAGCTTGTCCCTTACAATAATGTGCCTGAGCAAGCGCTGCCTTTCTTCAGACGACAGGTCTTCAGGAAGCGTCGGTTGAGCAGAGAAACACCCCTCACACAGTTGGACGAACGTGCAAAGAACACCATCAAACAGGATGGTCCTATTTTCGCCATGATGCATGCATGGATGCATGTATGGGTGCACAGATGCATGCATGGGTGCACAGATCGCATGGGTGCAGATGCATGCATGCATGGGTGCACAGATGCATGCATGGATGCAGCACGCCGTATGCGTGTTTGGAACAACCACATGCATGCATGGAAAAGCCTCATGCACTAGGCTTTCTCCATGCATGCGCAAGCGGGAATGCATGACAGGTGCAGGGAGAGTGTGTGAAGTGCTGGCAGGGCACGGCAGCAGGGGCATGCGGGTGGGAGGTATGAGGCAGGTAATAGCAGACAATTTGAGTCAGCAGGGATGGCTTCCAGAAAAACTACGTAGGCAGAGGAACATCATAGGCCCTCTGATGTGTCCCCCGGGCATCTTGGAGGAAGCAGGACAGCAACTAGAGGCTATTGGGCGCACGGCGAGGATTGTTTGCACGGCTGCAGTCGGGGAGTTGCGGAGGTGGTGGATAGGTTTGAACACGCAATCCTGCACACAGCTCGCATCTTGTGGAAAGAGCAAGGCGGGAAGTAACCAGGCAGGAAGTTCAACACACCACCCGCGCCGCAGGCTGCAGCGCTGCGGCGCCACGCACCTCAGCAGACGCCACAGCCCCGCGCCCAGCACCTGATCGCATGCCGTCTGTTCCGCTGCCCTCTTGCTGCGCTGTGCCGACAGCCCGTCTGCTGCCCGGGGCGCCATCCGCCGCGCCGCTGCTGCCCCTCACCACCAAAGGCGCCTCCAGCCGTGTCAGGCTGCCCGCCCGTATTGCAAAGCCGCGACCTGGTGCGCCGATGAATGGGGCCTGGCGCACGCCGATGCTGCGCTGGGCGGTGCCTGCACCTGCCGCGACAACAGCTGCCGCACCACCAGGGGTGCAACCACCAGGGGCGACAGCTCAAACACCTGCTGCAGGCGCCACGCCGTCTCCGCTGCTGCCGTATTGCTGCGCTGCGAGCCACCCGCCGCGCTGCTGCAGCCTCTCACCACCATCGGCGCCGCCAGCAGTGCCGAGCTGCGTGCGCCTGCCGCAGCTGACCGCATCGCGTCAAGGGCACCTTCACCATCACTGCCGGAGCCGCTCGCCTGCAACGCATCGCCGACAAAGGTCTGCAGGCCGTCGGCTACCGCAGCGTCGTCACTGCTGTATGTGCGCAGCGTCGTCACTGCGCCAGCACAGGGTAGGCCACCAGCTGGCCGGGGCCGTGGTCGATGGTCTCGCCGCCGCGCGGCACGTGCGCCACGGCAGCGCCCCGGGACGTCACGGCCTGGGGTGGGTGGATGGGGCGGGGCCGGTGAAATGGTGGGTCGGTCGGGCGGGCAGCTCGCGGTGTCGCCACTGCAACTGGACGCTGGCCGGCAGCATGCGGGGCACACCCGCACGGCCAGGCCCTGTGGCTGAGGTGGCCATCCACACGGGGCAGGTGGCGCGCACCTCTACGCCATTGCGGAAGTCGGCCAGGCTGCCGCGCTTGCCCACTGTGTAGACAGGCTCGTGCTGCATGCGGAGGGGCCACATCAGCCAGCAGCAGCGGCGCGAGGGGGTGGGGGCAGCGGCTCACTGCAGCATCCTCGGCTGCAGAACAGAAATCCGCAGACCCGCCAATCCAAGGATTTGTGCAGCCGGTTCGTTTGGAACCGGCGTAAGTGGGCAGCGAAATGTCCCCTAGAGCAGCAACTTTGTGCTGTCCCTCACGCGCCACCGCACCTGGAGCAGCAGCAGCGTATCAGGCACCGCACCCTCCCGCCGCAGGTCTGCCAGACGCTCCTGCAGCCTCAGGGCTGCGCCGTAGCCCACCAGCCCAGCTGTGAGGTCAACCACGGCGAGCACTGGGCGCGCAGCACTGGCCATGGCTGGGCTACTGGCTAGCCGCCCGCCGCAGCAGTGAGCAGCAGAGCGGCGGAGCGCAGTGGGGCAGCCAGGTGCGATGCCAGCGGCCTGGCCGCCCCTGCCGCGTGTTGCCGCCCAGCCGCGATTGCTATGCGTGTGTCACGTTTCCATATTTCAACTACTCTTCATACATGCTGATTTCCAGGCGCGTAGCGTTGGCACTGCAGCTTGCTAACAACAAGAAACTTTAATCTGCGACTGCCCGGTATCGATGTGGCGCCGTATGGTACATTCAGAGAATTTAATGGTTGGAAACGAACATGTACTGCCGCAACATGCTGGGGACGATATTGGATGCTGCCTTGCGCCCCCGCTGACCGAAACTCTTGCCCCTCGAGCTGCTGAGCAGGAGAGCAGTCCCGGCATGTGCAAGTGCCACTTGCTGAACTACAAAGTTATCTGCAACCATCACCAGCAAAGGGTTCGTGCGGCGCTTACAGTGGTCACATGCATGCAGCAGGAACCTGGCGCATGGTTCACGCACGCAACACCCTACGTCACGCAAGGCAAACACTGCAACCAGACGAAAAACTGTTCTAAGCACAAGTGCGGAGCAGGCGGGACATCAAAACTTGTAGTTGTCGTCGTAAGCCTGTGATTCAAGGTGGTAGGGATGGAGAGGCAGCACCGGGACAAGGTGAGCGTGCTGTGTGGTTTCACAGCCGGACAAGTGATGGGCCGTACGCAGGGGTCGTCATCTCCCACAAAGCGCGCGCAGCCTGACCCTGCGCTGACCCCAGCCTCCCCACCCGCCCGCCCTACGT